TATATAGATAGGTATATATTTATATAATCAGATCCTGAAATCCATAATGGTCAAACATTTGTGTGTAAATCAAGAATGAGCGACCATTAATTTCAGTTTTAGGCGGTTTACAGAACGAGAACTCTGAAGTGCTGTTATTTACCTTGAACAGTGAAATTTTCTGAACCCAGCTGGTGCATGATGTAGTCCAGGAAGAAGCTCTCCTCAGGCAGGAACTGATCACTGAAGCAGTGTCCTAGCAAGGCATGATACAGGACCCAGCCCAAAACTGCACCCACTTCCTGACTCTGGTCTGCTGATGAGGAGCTGATCTTCATCATGATGCTGCTGGCTGTCTCACAGCTCTGGTTACCCCATGAAGGAAAAGCAGGGCGAAGCAAATGAGAAACTTACAGCAGCATTTAGAGTCAAAAAGCTTTTCGCATTGTTGCTTTAAAAAACAGAAGCAGTTTCAGTTTAAAGGCCAAAACAATATGAAAACGACAAATCGTGTACTGTTAATACTGAGTTTAAGAAAGCAACTCAGTGATGGCTTACTAAATGTTTGGAGATCTATCTTATTATCTCACTAGCTATCTAACTTTTTTTATATTTTTCTAAAGATGCATTTGCTTTTACGTTTGAATTTTTAGCTTTAATGGACTCCGACACCCACAATATATTTTTAGTCCACTGATCTGAGAGGATACCACTCCTCCATGTGTCTTTTGTTTTTCAGAGTTTTATATTTTTGTTTTGACAGGAGGTTCTGGTCAAACAGCAACTTCCTGGGCTTAAAAACACAAAGCAAGTATGAAAAGACAAAAATAAATGATAATAAAAATGATAAGCTCTTTGTTAACTGCATTCAATACATAAAAAAAATTAAATTAATTTCAATTCAGTTGATTTATAAAGCACCAAATCTCATTATACGTCGTCTCAGGGCACTGGACAGAAATATTCATATACACATAAAGTCAGTTAATAATGTTATTTATCTAAGGAGCTAATCAGATTGCTTCGAGTTGCTTTGAATTTCAAAAATTAAATGTCTACAAAAATGTAAAACTAAGCTATACAAATGGCAGAAAATACAATCTGAATGCTTCATTGTTAAAATTGATATTTGTCCAGCAATAAGGACTATAATGCCCACATTATAAGAGCTTTCATTATTTTTTTTTTTTTACTTTTCATCTTTAAAAGCAGTGGTTCCTAAACGTTTTAGCATCTCAATTAGAAAATCCTGTGGCAGAACGATGCAACTCTTGTCGGTGGACAGTTTTGTAAATAAACAAATTAAATGAACTAATGAAGCAAACAGTCTAAGCAACTTTCGCAGTACTTTCAAACATTTATAAGTACAATTTTAAACTTTTGTAACATGTAACAACAGGAAAAAAAATACATAAGCAATAGTTTTAGGTTAATCACATTTTTGGCTTTAAAGCCAAACAAATTTGTCAGGTGGATAGAAACCCGTAACAAATCATCACACCTAAAGCAATGTTTTAGGATTAGTGGGTCAAAGGTACTAATACAAAAAAGTAGTTTATAGAATAAAAGGCCTTAAAGGCATAAAGCCCCTTTCTGCTTTTCATGTCAGAGTTATGATTGGAGATTATCTTTTGACACAAAGCCGATCAAGTTAAAGCAGTTTTGGTCAAACATTGTAAAAGGTATCATGCAAGATCTCTTGGGATATTGAGTTCTTGCATAATCTGTTAGGGATTAAACTATGTGTTGAAGATGACTCCCAGCTACTACCAAACTAAATTTTAGCTCAATATTTGTAAAAATGGCTGAGGTAAAGTCATTTTTGTGTTAGCTAGGCGGACATTTAGAAGTGGGTTAACTCCCAAAAGCGAACCAGCTGCAAATGATAACTTTTTGACAGTTTTATTCTGTGGTCCATGAGGTGGGTTTCCAACATGGCAGACAAACACAGGGACAGGGAACATAAGCACCAGAGGATTACTTGCGTTGGTCCCAAGCCTCGGTAAACTGTGATGGTTGCGAGTTCTTTCAAACGACACTACCGGATCGATTGAGAAAAATGACAAAGAAGAAGGCCAAAGAGGAGATATATGGATGCAGTTAGTCAGAGAGAGGACGTGGCAGTAGTTGGAGTGAGGACAGAGGATGCAGAGGACAGAGGGAGATGGAAGAGGATGACTTGCTGAAGAAGAGAAAGAAAATAGAAGAAGTCAGACAAACTAACACAAGCAACGGCGTTATTCACCTTTGTTGGCAGGTGATAATAAACGTCAGGTTTTACTTGCCAACAGGTAATCCTTGTGTAATCTTACCTTGTTGTCTGAGGGCTCGTAGTGGCTGCGCAGCTCCTGAAGCACACCTTCTAATCCATGTCCATCCATGTAGTCATGCGTGTGTTGGAGCGGCTCGATTCTGTGCTCAAGGTGGTCATGGTGTGCGAACTTGTGTAAGAAATGCTCGGTCTCCTCTGCCCACTTTGAATGCTGTATGGCGGTGCAGACCAGGGAAGGAGAGGAAAGGAACAGGACGCTGCCGGCTGCCAGTGCAGGGAACCGAGACACGCTGACGACCACGGTTCCTCCGACCCTCGCGTCTTCGTCCTTCGTGGGACTGCCGATGAGCTGATGAACGGCACCTGCCAGGTCACACTAGGGATCCACACAGAAAACAGCCAAACAGAAAAACATGCACACATGTGTCAGAGCCATTGGAAAAAAAAAACAACAACAAAAAAACGAATATTTACAACAATAACTTGAATTGACTGAGAGACCCAAATTAAAGATTTATGTTGTTCATATCAGCTCAGCACAATTGTCATGCACTATCACTGTTATGCTGGCAAAACATAAAAATAAACAAAACAGCTCACAATCTAATCTATAATCTCATGAATAAAAGCATATTTATTATCTTTAACTTGGCTCCAAAGTTTCAGATAAGGACTACAGAAACAAAATAAAATGGAGAAAAATCACTGAAAAATGCTGACAAGCATTTATTCGGACCCACATCCTTACAGGAAGGTTAAAAAAAAAAGAAGCAGGACAAAGTTTATATTAAAGTTTCACCAAATAAATACGAGCTGATCTTAAATTCACGTTTGTGTGCATACAAACAGCTGTAGATGTTTCTGGATGTTTGCCTCCGCTCCAAATTCAATTGGGTCAATTAAAATTTATTTTGAAGCTGTGCCTGTCAATTCATCAAAGTTCATGCCCAATAATCCAGGTAAAAATCCAACAAAGTTCATTCAGATCATCTGGATGTTTTTATTTTTATTTGCTGAGACGTTTCATCCTTCATCCAAAGGGCTTCATTAATCTGAGGAGCCACAAACAGCAGCTGACTCCCATAGGGAAAAAACAGTTTGCTTGTGATAAGATGGTTTCTGGGGCCCACCCTCTCCCCCATCAACTCCTCTGAGGCAGCCAAATTTGATGGGGGAGAGGGCGGGTCCCAGAAACCATCCATCCATTATCTTTACCCGTTTATTCCATTTTGGGTCACGGGGGGTCGCTGGTGCCCATGTCCAGCAATCACTGTGCGAGGGGCGGGGTACACCCTGGACGGGTCGCAAGTCCATCACAGGGCCACATAGAGACAAACGAGACAAACAATCATTCACTCTCTCACTCACACCTAGGGACAATTTAGAGTTACCAATCAGCCTAACATGTATGTTTTTGGTCTGTGGGAGGAAACCGGAGTACCCGGAAAAAACCCACGCATGCACGGAGAGAACATGTAAACTCCACCCAGAAAGGTCCCTGGACCGGGGTTTGAACCAGGGACCTGCTCGCTGAGAGGCAGCAGCTCTACCAGTTGCGCCACCGTGCTGCCGGGTCCCAGAAACCATCTTACAAAACTGTTTTTTTCTTTCTCACAATGGGTGTGTGCTGCTTGTGGGTCTTAGTTTGTTTATGGCTCCTCATATTGATGAAGGACAAAACGTCTCAGCAAAAAAAAAAAAAAAAAAAAAAAAAAATCATCCAGATGATCAATATCCTTTATTTATTTTAAAAATCTATACTCTAAAGTTCTCCATATTTTAAAGTCCCTTCAAAAAACTAAACTCAATGCTCTTTGGACTTTTTGTCCATAAAACATTTCAATTGTATCCATCTCACTTGTGTAACTAACTATATGAAGTTTGCAAATTATTTTCCTCTCTCTTTAAATTTCTGTTTGATTTAAATAGACATAAAAAAAAAACAGCCGGATAGCTGAAAACTCACAGGGTCAAACATCTCCAAATAATTTACAGGTTTTTTTTGAGGCTATAAAGTTTTCACTGTTATAACAGAAATATAAATTGTGAGTGATTAACATTACATTTTATCGTCCTCTAACCAATCAGACTTTGATTTAAGTTCTAATTTATGATCATTAAATACAATCTAGACAATGAAATATGCTTCTGTTCTTTTCTGTCCCCTATCAGCCTCTTACAGTAGATATTCTTCAGTCACACGATGTACACATCATTTTACAGCTATCCTCAACGAAACTCAAGGACTTCGCCCTCACTTCCTGATAAAGTGGTTTTGTTACAACACAGCTAATAAAATCAGCATTTAAGGCTGATATCAGAATGAACTTGCAGTTTGATGTAAGAAAAGGTCATTTAATCTACTAAAACACATTGTGTATTGTTTGATAGACACTTCATACAAGTTTTAATATATAAAAAAACAACTGAAGTGATTTGAATAGGTTTTGATGGAACAATATACACCTAAAAAGCTTTTGTTGCACTTTATGCAGCCTGGTTAATAAACATTACGTTTTTCCCCATGTATAATGGTTTTCCTAAATTTGGACTATGCTCTAAAAGCTAAAACTAACAGGATATAAGCCAAATAATACAAGAACAAATTAACAGAATTTCATTTAACCTGAGCCTTATAGAAAAATTACTGCAGCAGCACAGCCGTGAGACTCAGACAAAGAAATATACAAAACTAAGTGAGCAAACTTTAAGGTTTTCTGTATCAAGAAAACACAGCAAACTAAGAAAAAAACAGCTCTACCATATTAACAGACTGTAGAAGGTATAAATTTAAATAAGCTATGCTCTCACTCTTTAAGTCATGCATCACTGTAAAAAATTTGACTCCATTTTGTGGTTTTTGTTTTAGTCACATCACTTTGTTGAAGTTTGACAGCTAGAATCACATCAGGAGCCTCAGCATGACTTCACATTTGACACTAAACTTATTATACAGCTTATACTTTATACCAAATTCTGCTGATGAGGGGTTCCTCCGAAAAGGAAGAACATGTTCTGAAATTTGATTTGCTGCTGCAATATTTTATATTCTCACAAAAAACAGTTCTGATTTTTATCTTTTACTCATCAGTTTGGCATTTTAGATTCAGTTTCTGTTCATTTTTTTTTCTCTTATTATCAGTATTACTGCCAATTTTTAATCATACTTTTATTTTACTTTTTAATTCAGTTTTATTTCTTTTATCATCCATCCATCTATGATGTTGTAATTACTGTGAAGCACTTTGGTCAGCACGAGGATGATGTAAATGTGCTAAATAAAAACTTTGACTTGGCATTAAAAATATAGATTTTTTTTTTTTTTAAATCCACCCGAGTTTGAGCATATTAATTTCATTTTATTAGCACTACTCTTTGAATCTTTCAAACTAAAATTTACACTTTTTAAAATTTACATAGATGTAAATAAATAATAATAAATAAATAAAAAAATACACGTGTCTTTCCATTCAGGGAATTATACATTTTAATTTGTGAGGCAAACCTTTTATTCTGATTAAATCAAGAAAGCCGGTCACAGTTGAGGTGGTTAACAGCTGCTGGACCTCGACCTGCAGCTCGGCCCCCGGCTGTCCTACCTGGCACCTGCATGGCTGCACAGGTAACCTAATAAAACTCACCTTTCCACACGGCACTTCACCACACTGCACACGCTTCTGCAGTGTATTAAAGAGGGAGCCAAGGGACGCCTGGCTCAGATGGAGCTGTCCGGGAGACACGACGCTCACCACGGCGCTGTAAGCCTCCTCCACCGCGGGGGAAGAAGCCGAGACAGAACCGAGCAAACCCGGGCTGGAGCACAGACCGAGGAGGAGCAGCATGGAGAACATCTTTAATAAGTTCCTTTTGGAGGAAACTTGGACATAAATACAGGAGAAAGAGGCAGAAGCTTATTGCCACAGACACTTTGAGGCGTTTAAAGCTCAGCTCGGAGATATTATCAGAGAAAAACGTCCACAATCTCGCCGGATCTGGACTCTGGGTCGTGATTGGCTGAGACGTGGCTCGCGCTGTACCTGTTAATTAAGACACCTGCAGCCGACAGGGCGTTTCTATAGCAACCGATCAATGTCACAAAACAGCTTCACATTTTTATTTTATTCAAGTTACATGAAGGGAAATCTTCAAGAGGAGTATTTTTATTTTTATTTTAGCTGTAATATTAGCAGCTAAAATACAGCACCGACTAGCCGAAGTGTTATTGAGCGAAACAAAGAAAGCATTTTGATTAATGGCTGAGCCAGCAAATGTTCAGATATCGTCCAACTATAAAAAAGAAACTTGTTACAAAAAGTGCAGTGTGAACGCTGAATGTTGAAAGATTTTGCAAAAAATTTGCCCAAGAAGCTAAATTGAGTTGGTAAAGTTAAAAGAAGCAACACACTGTCCATCCTCTGGACATGTCCAAACCATTTCAGTCTAACTTTATCTCCCAGTTGTTCAACCTGTGCTGTACCTCTGATGGTCTTATTCCTAATCTTATCCATCCTTGTCACTCCTAAGGAGATCATCTTCATTTCCGCCACTTCCAGTTCTTTCTCCAGTCTTTTTGTCAATGCTGACACCCTTTTGTACAAATCACTCCTGAAACTTTTCTCCATCCACTCCATCCTGCCTGGACTCCATTTTTCACCTCTTTATCACATTTCCTGGACAGTTGACCCCCAAGTACTTGAAGTCCCGCACCTTTGTGACCTCTGCTCCTTGTGGCCTCACTGATCCACCGGCCTCCCTCTCCTTCACACTCCGTCTTACTAAGGCTGACTTTCATTCCTCTTCTTTCAAGTGCATACCTCCACCTCTCCAAGTTCTCTTCCACCTGTTCCCTGTTCTCCCCACAGATCACAATGACATCTGTAAACATCATAGTCCACGAAGATTCCTGCCTGACTGTTAGTCAGTCCATCACCAGAGCAAACAAAAAGGGGCTCAGAGCCGATCCTTGATGCACTCCCACCTCCACCTTGAAGCTATCTGTCACGCCTACAGAACATCTCACCACTGTCCTGTTGTCCTCATACATGTCCTGTACCAGTCTAACACTTCTCTGCCACTCCAGATTTCCTTATGCAATACCACACCTCCTCCCTCGGCACCCTGCTTTATCTAAATCCACAAAGACACAATGGAGTTCTTTCTGACCCTCTCTGTACTTCTTCATCAGCGTCTTCAAAGCAAAGATGTTGTCCGTGGTGCTCTTTCTCTGCATGAAACCATACTGCTGCTCACAGTCACTTCTCGTCTAAGTCTAGTTTCCACAACTCTCTCCCAGATCTTCATCGTGTGGCTCATCAACTTAATTCCCCTGTAGTTGCTACAACTCTGTACATCACCCCTGTTCTTAAAAATGGGCACCAGCACACTTCTCCTCCATTCCTCAGTGGTTTTCTCTCCCTCAAATATGCCATTGTGTCAAAAACCTCACTGCCATCTCTCCAAGAAATTTCCAAACCTTCACTGGTATGTCATCAGGCGCTATGCCTTCGCCTTCATTCTTTTCAGAGGTTTCCGGACTTCACCCTCACTAATCTTTTCCCACGTCCTGGTCCACAGTTTATGACCTCTACTCTTCTTTCTCTTTCATTCTCTTCGTTCATTAACTCCTCAAAGTTCTCCTTCCATCTTCCCATCACGCTGTCCTCACGTGTAAGAACATTACCATCTCTATCTAAAATAAATAAAAATAATCTTAAAAGTAACAAAAGGCAAACTAAAAGTTAAAAGTAGCAAAATGCCAACTAAAAGCTAAAATAACAAAAGGCTAGCGACAAACTACAAGTAGCAAAAGACATGCACGTATTTAGAAAATGTAGGAAAATAAATCACAGTTGTACAAAGATAAACGTTTCAAATGCAGCAATTCAAAAGTTCTGCCAAATTAAAAAAAACTGTTTATTTTCTTGTTTTTATGATGAATAATCGAACCAAGTTCAGAAAAGGAAATATAACGTGACACTGTTTTCTTGTACAAACATTTTATTTTCATGACCTAATTAGACAACACTGACTCAACTTAATTACTCAAGTTAATGATACGATTTGTGTTGTTCTGTCCTGCACAATTTCTAATTACAACCTGAGCTGATATACAGGTATATAAACACAGTACTTGATATATAAATACAGTCTGTAACACCAGCATGACTCTGTTAGTGAGGTGAAGTGACTTTTTAAACAATAATTTTCTTCCTGTCCTCACAGACGAGTGCAGCACCGGAATAATCATGTTCCGTTTCTTCTTTGCATCAGTCCACCACAAATGACCTACAAATAAAATCACTTTATCTGCAGTTTGTTTCTTGAAATCAACCAAGTTTGCACTAAATGCATTCTTAACATCTTATCTAACCAAAATAAAGCTGATAAGTTAAACAAGGAGCAAAAATAAATGTGTCGCTGACAAAAACAAATTTTCTCACAACATAAATCACAAGCACAGTCTCTTGATATTGTAAGATCCTGAAGAGTTTATTTTGGAGATGACTACCTGCTACTACCACACCAAACTTTATCTCAGTGTCTGCAAAACTGGCTGAGTTTAACACTTTATGTATTGTCTAAAATATCTTGGTTGTGTCAGCCATATTGAAATGGGTTGACTCCAAAAGTTAATCAGTTATAAATATACATCCAACAATTATTTTTTTCAAGCTTTATTAAAATGGATCTTGTGGTTCATGGGATATTTTGCTAACAGACACACACTCAACACACACACAAAGGGCAAAAACTATTACCTGCTTTTGCCTTTTGGCGGTGGGTGATAAATATAACCTTCTCACTGACAAAAACCCCAATCTGTCAGAGCATTAATCTAAAACTGACACTAAAGGCCTTTAAATGAGAATATTGACTTCCTGTTTATTTTGTGACCACCAGATGGCGCAGCTGCTCTGTGTAACGTCAGACTATAAAGATGATAAAGAACATTACAACATTTTGTAGGAAAAGTTTGAAAAAAGAGCAGGGTTGATAGAATTTCTTGAAAGTATTTGTATATATATATATATATTACTGGTTAGCCATAAGATTATGACCCATGAAGTCCCATGATTCCTAAAACTATTGCCAATAAAACCATTGCAGCTTCTGGACTAACAGCATTTGTGGATGTTAATATTAGAGGATTTATTTTGTGAAATGGTCATTGGATGAGCAGATGGCAACAGGCTAAAAGGGGCACAAGCAGCTGTAAAAGACAAATAATTGAACAAAAACACAAGATTACAGAGCTACAGAGCATCAAACACAAAAACCTTAAAACAAACAAAAACACTGAAATATATTTTGTATAGCACGACAGGGAGGCAAAAACACCGAATTAAAAAGAGGAAGACTAAAGCATGGAGCTTAAATATACATTGGAGCTGATGAGACACATGCATTTGCAGCGTAAATATAGTGTGATTGCTGACCAATTCTGCTGAAAGTTGCTTAAAAATCCATCCATCCATCCATCCATCCATCCATCCATCCATCCATCCATCCATCCATCCATCCATCCATCCATCCATCCATCCATCCATCCATCCATCCATCCATCCATCCATCCATCCATCCATCCATCCATCCATCCATCCATCCATCCA